GTAGTGAATTTGGGATCGGATATGGAGTTTCCGATATTCTTGAGGTCTAGAGACTTAATGTTCACGTAGGTAGACTATTCCTTGATTGCGGACTGTGAAGATATGATAAGAATTGTATAGCTGATGGTATGTGTTATGGATAGGTTGCTATGGACTTTTGGATGGCTGCTTATTTGTTTGGGGATGATCAAAATTGGTCTGGGGGCTATTTGTAGGCCTAATAAGACTGGGTATTGTATATCAGACGGGGTTTGCTTACTCTAACACAACTGTTACCGTAGGTATATCATCAGGCATAATTGATGTTATTCGTGCCCTGCTCTGTGTTATATGCTTCTCTCTTATACTACAACGGGTTGTGAGGCTACTTGATTATTGCACGCATTTTGTAATCCCATTTAGGCCTTATGGAATTATATTAGTAAGATGGCTTTTATTGTGTTGATTTGCTTATTACACCTAGCTGTGCTTGCCTTTTTTTTCGGATTGTATTATACCTACGTACCTCCCCACAGTTATACTTGTGCACTCTATCGTATTTGATGTTGACGCATATGTACTTAGTGAGCACGAGCATTATGGCTCAATGGGTATCTCTATGTGGTGTTTGGGAACGGGTTGCGCCCGCAACGGAGTTATGTGGGATACCCTTCCTTGTGTATATTTCATGTACTGTTTTTCCTTTATGAGATGAGTTCATGAAATTATGTTTTTGTTGTTATATCAGTTGTACTTGTTGGATAGTCCTCGTACCTAGTTTTCTTTCCATTTTTAGACATACTGGAGCTATTGCTTGTTTAGTGCACGAACCGCGTTGTGTGATGTTCCATGTGGCTTTTGGTGTGATTGTCAGTTGGGATGCTTATATTGAGGGAGACGAGATTTTTGACTTAGGATTTGCACTGTCGTGTTGGAGTAAGAAATGTTTGGAAGAATAATATCATATTTGCGCTCAGAATTTGGCAATGGTCCTTGTCGGACGAGAGAAATCCACGACTTTTTGATTGGGTGATTAGTTATTAGTTTGTACATGTTTCTTTCATCATTGACAAAGTATGAAGGTTTGGAACAAGATTTTATGTGATATGAGGTTTGTTACTGGTACCAAGTTTGATAATGGTCAGTTAGTGTGGTAAGAGATACTGCTATAGGAATATAAGTGACGAGCTACATTGTGTGGTTATATCTTGTGAATATATTTATGATTTGTTTCAGCTGGTTGAGATTGATACAGTATGTGGATGCGAGAATCGAATCTTAGAAGGAGTCCTGGATATTGAAATTTGGTTCTAAAGCTTATTGGTTACGGTTAGAGGAAGAATCATAAGTCAAGATTGTATCGATGGGATTTTATGGATTGAGATAACGTGGGATCACCCATGATTATGTGCATGGTGGGTTTATATAGTGATTTGATGGCTTTGAAACAACTCTTGGTACATTCGAGGACGAATGTATATTTAAGCGGGGGAGATTATAATGACCCGATCAGTCGTTTTAAGCTTTAGCGTTCCGTTCGGTGGTTTGAGACTTTGAGTAGCTTCATATAATGTACTATGAATTATGTGTATGGTAGATTTTAGTTTTCTAGTGGTTCAGGATTGATTAGGAAGAATAACTCTCGATTTGGAAGCTTTAAGTTGGAAGAGTTAACCAAGGTTTGCCTTTTGGGTAAACGGACTCGGAATCGAGTTTTTATGATTCCAATAAGTTCGTATGATAATTTTAGACTTGTACCTGTGTTCGGATTCAATATTAGAGGTTCCTAAAAGGATTCACCACTATTTGTCGAAAGTTGAGAATTTAAAGAACTTAAGAGTTCATAAGTTTAATCAAGAGTTGACTTTGATGTTATTATACTCCAATTGGTATTCCGAAATTTTGGATAGGTCTATATAGTTGAATTTAACTTCTGTGCAAATTTTGGAAGTAATCTGAAGTGTTTAAGTTTGATTCACACACTCTTTTGAAAGAATAAAGATTTAACAACTTAAGACAAATTCTATTCGGTTTGAGCCACAATTTTTTTGTGTGATGTTCCTGTGGGTATTTTAAGGCTTTAGATAAGCTTGAATAATATATTTGTACTTGTTGGTATGATTGGATGGGGTCCCGAGGGGCTCGGGTGTGTTTTCTATCATTCGTTGATAAACTAGTTAAGTTAAAGATTTGGAGTTTGGCCATGGTCAATATCGAGATAAGACGACCTATTTTGGTTATTTTGAGTGAGCGAGCAAGTTCGTAGCTTATTTCATGATTGAAATGCATATATGGTTTCTATCCAGGAGGTTTCAAATGAGTTCTGGGTGCTAAAATGAGATTTTTTTTATTGCTGATTTTTTTTTCTAGTGTATATAATTACAAAAATGTCATTTTTGTCCCTGAAATTTTCGAAGTTTCTTTAAAACTTCAAAACATCATATCTCCCTTATTTTAAGGCCAAATTGTGTCATTCAAAAGGCTATATTGGGTGTAATCTCGCAAGGATTATGTTGATCTTATCAAATATGAGTTTCGGGGTCAACTAGGATCTGGTTCGAGCTGGAATAGATGCTGTATTTTTTTTTAATTGTTCAGCAATTTAGTCACTTTTTCTCACAAGGTTTCTGAGCTTGGATTTGAGTGATTTTGGAGGATATTTTCACAATTTGGATTGGGGGTATGTATTTTTTACTCAGATTTATTTATATTTCATTATTCCAACCTTGAATTTAACGATTATTTGATGAATCAAATAGAAGAAATTAAGAATTTTAGTAAAAACTTTTCTGAATCATAAATTGATAATTTGTGGGTCGATATGATGTCGGATTTGGATGAAACACATATATTTGAACTCGTATCGGAATGGGTTTTCAAGATATTTGAGTTTTGTCAGGTTCCGAGGTGCGGGCCCGGGATTAACTTTTTGGTTTGACTTTTTGATTTTAGTTAAAGATCGAAACTTTATCTTTCGGAATCGTTTTTATGGCTTTTATTTATTATATTAAGTTATTTTGCATAGATTCGAGCCATCCGTAGGTTGAGCACAGGAAGAGCTTTTAAGAGTGTTGATTTAGCTTATTTAAGGTAAGTGTCTTGCCTAGCTTTGTTGGGGAAATTTTTTCCTACTAAATGATATTGTTTGCCACATGCAGGAGTGATGCATATACGAGGTGATGAGTGTATAGGCATTTGCCAGGGTTTCCATTCTCGGAAGGGGGAATTATATGCTTATTTGTGCTTCGTTGAACTTAGTGATTCCTTGACTTATACTTTATTTAATTTTATGACTAATAAACTCAGTTAACTATGTTAGATATCATGTTAGAACATATGACATCTTTATAAGGTTTAATGTGTTCTTTTCAGACTGTTTACATACCCAATTGACCGTAGCATCATGAACACCCATTTATGCATGTTATTGTCTTTCTACCTTAGCTTCTTTATCTGTAATAAGAGATGAGGATTGGGACCTTAGGTCTATGTCTGGCACGAAAGTTATTTCTATGCGCTTGATATGATGTTGGTATAATGAATTGTTGTGCAGTGTAAGATAAGATTGGTCGATTAGTTGTTACCGTATGAGAAGAATTAGATTTTTCTGTTATGATTACTCAATCGTTAAACACTTACATGTCCTACTTGGGTTCCTATGATTGTTGTTGTTTTGTATATTTCTTTCTTTTTTGTACTCTTTATATAGTTATCTCTGCGTTTCCTAACTGGCATATTATTGTGATATCTATGTTTCTGCTTTGTCATTACGATTGCCCTGTGTTTTTACTTGATTTATTTCTGCTACATGTTCTTTTCTAATTCATGCCTTTACTGTTATTTGCCCGTACATATTATTTACCTATATTTGTTGCGTGATTTACTTATTAGTTGTCTTGACCTGTTACATGCATCACTTACTACATGCCTTCAAATTTTATATGTGTTTGTTTGCTATGTGACTCTACATGCTACGTGATTTCACTTCTTACACGCCTCTACATGAAACTTGTTTTATTTGACGTAGATTCTTTCTCAGTTCATGCTCTATACTTCCTTGCTTAGCCGGATTGGGTGACTTTTTGATTGGTTATGTATTTATGCTTTATGGAAACTTTGGTTTTAAAATGTGGGAGATTTGTTGTGGGGTGCTATGTTACTCACCGTACTTCGTTCGAGTTCGTATTTCTAGTTGAATTCCGCTTGTTAGTTTCCTTGATATTACGTTGTGAATATCCGAGCTTGTTTTTGTTAGAATAGTCTCATATGAATCTACATTGATACATAAATACATATATATATATATATATATATATATATATATATATATATATATATATATATATATATATATAGCCACAAACGGATATTGGTATTATTTTGTGGAATTGGGTTGCACGCCACAATAGATATTGGTATTATTGTTTGGGATCGGGTTGCACGTCACAACGGTATATATTTGTGGATAGGCTTGCACGCCGCAACGGAGAAGATAGACATGTTATGACTGTTCTTGATTGTGTTCTATATCTATGTTACACTGTGAATTGAGCATATGTGATATTCTAGGACCCTCTATCATTTGTATTCTTGTTTCATTTATTTCGTAATTATTCACTTTCTTTCTCGTATTGCTCTTACTGCTTATTATCTACACAATAAAATATGAGTGAGTATCTTTTGACTAAAAATCTCGCCACTATTTCACCGAGGTTAGTCAAGATACTAAGTACATGAGATCGGTTGTACTCATGCTACATTTATGCACCTTGCGTGCACATCTAAGGAAGTTACAATGATTAACTTAGCTCTCAGTGTCAGATTTTTTTTTATTATTGGTCTTTCTACTCAATTTTTATTTCTTCTATCTCGACTATACTTACAAAAAGATTATTTGTAAATTCAATGATGTCTTTTATAATTGCGCGAAGCGCGAGCAAATTAACTAGTCATGAATATATTAAGAAGTACGTAGAAAGTCAATTGGGATGGGAAGAAAATCAAGATCAACGATAAGAAAGTGAGCTCGGAAAATTTGAATCTTATTATTGTTTGCAAGCAAATGGAAAAAGGTACAACACACAATACAGGATTGTATGGAAGGAGGACAAATAAATCGACAATTAAAAGAATTGAAATCAAGATCCTCCTTTTGAAGGGTGGACTGCACAGTAGGTCTGGACAATATCTGAACAAAGGAGGTAAATAGAACCAACCAAAGCAATTATAGACCAGGGACTGTTAAAATATGTATTTTTCAATTCAGACAACCAAGTCCTGGTTTTGTTGTTATAGTGATCCTCGATATTCCTTTTCTCCTTGTAGAAAAAAGATTCATCTTCTGTGCCATAAGTATTCAAAGATTTATAGACTTCTACCACTTGTTCGTCACTCCCTAAGCTGTTCATTAAAATTTTCTTTTCTCGCAGCTCTTTGACATCCTCTTGTGAAACAATAAGTGATTTCATGAAATTCACGTAAGCAGTCACAGCTTTATCGGTAAAAACATTGGGACAGAACTCATAAGCAATCATGTTCATGAAAAATGATCTGGTGTAGGGAGAAACATACCAACATGGGAGTTTGAGCGTTGCAGAGTGACAGAATTCAGCGGGGCTAAACCTTACGCCATTTAAAGACGCAATCTCGCTAGGCCTGAAATGAATGCCCTTTAGTTTCAGATCCGTCACTGAATGAAACACATACCCCCCGCGGCCACGAGTTGACGTTTGATCTTGTCTACAGCACCAATATTCAAGACATAATCCCAACTTGTTGAAAATCTCACAGAAAGAATCACAAGGACGTGCACGTGGTTGTTGGACTTCCCCGGTGCCAGTGACGATTGCTCTTCGGAAAATTTCAAGAAGGTGAAGGGGGATATCAGTTGTCCCCTGTTTATTATCTTTCAATGATCTTATGTCCTCATCGAAGAGTATGTTAAAACAAGAGCTTTCCGCCGTCTTTATAAATCCTTTTTCATCTACAGGATGTCTAGATTTAGCCAAGATCATGAGAATTCTGAACGGTACCTGATTTTCAAGCAAATATAAATCACGTTTACTTAGGGTATAAACTGCAGTACCAAGATGCTCAATTGTCTCGCTCCGTTTAAATGTCTGTTCCCATGGTCCTATAATATTTAGAATGAAGCATGCGTCAAGGAGCATCATTTCAGCAAAATAAAAGTCATCATAGATACACGTGAATTCTTCGAGGTAACAACTTTTAGCATATTCAATTTCCTTTAGAATTTCCCCGAGGAAGAAAGCTTTGTCTTGATTACTCCCTTCAATGAACATGTCTAGTGCCATGGGCTTGAAATCCTGAACAAATTTGAGCTTCTCCTTTCCGTGGTGGTAAGGCCCAAGTGAAACCACTTTAGGATCATAGTCACCGCTTTCCTTATTCTCATCACTCAGGAATGAAGGAACCTTTTGTATTTGATTCCTTCTAACTTTAGTTGACTTATCCGGTTTCATTTCAGAACCTTCATGAACAGCATGAATAGGCAATATTTGTTATAAGTAGTGAAATTAGACCAGTTATATAATATATAAATTTATTGTGTTGCTCTTTTTGGAGCAAAGAATGCATCCCTTCTTTTAGTTGTAGAAACCACATTAATTAATCAAAAAATTAAAGAAAAATTAAACTTGAGTTGAAGGTGATGCCAATTAATGAATGAACCAAGTACTTAGATGTCGTCTAGGCGAACAACTAAGAAGTACATTTTGATTTATCTATGCATTTTGTAAGCATAAAGTAATTTTAAACGAAAATCAGTGAAAAGTCATAAGTTCGTCAACCCTAACTTATTGCTTGCTTATCACGCTTTGATTTGACTAAACTCTTCCCTATTTTATGTCTAAATTTATAATTAATCCCCGAAGACCCCTTGCCAAAAAAAAAAAAAAAAAAAAAAAAAACTCCTAAGACCTCTCCATTATGTTTCTGTATTCGTCTTTTTTCAACACTAAAGATACTTTTAAATTTATACTTTTCTGTAAATAGCTTTATATGTATTGAGGTCATTTTAACAAAAAAGTATGGTTATTATATAAACATTTTTTAACTAAATATACCAATTTTTTGTAATTCATCACTTTTATATGCATTGCCTGTATATTTGTAGTTTTGGTTTAATACAGATCACTATATAGTCCAGAATTTAAGACGATAGAAAGTAAGGAAATAGAAAATCAAACGATGAATTAGTGCATACATATAGAATAAATTTCCTGAAGACAGGTGAAATCTATTTCATATGAAAACTTTCGATCACCTAAAACCGAAGCCTAAAGGAAGAAAAAAGATAATTAAAAAGCACTTTGTGGAATACGTTTTTCTCCCTTAAGTTGATGTTTTACATTATTCTATTTATCTTTGCATGCAAGATTATAGAATCACAAACAACAAAGGATGCAAGCTTTAGGCATTTTCTTTTTTAGCTTTAGGTATTAAAATACCTTCTAGTTGCATGCAGGGAGTTATGCTTGTGCTCTTTTATTTTTATTTTTATTTTTGGTCCGAATTTGCCTTTCGGTCTTGATCTGAGCACTCGTCTAACTACTAAGAAAGCTCGGAAAATTTAAAAACTAAAATAATGAAAGAATTCTTGATGCGTTAAGAGGCATACCAGGAAATTAAACTAAAAAATACATTTCTAGAGTAGAACACGTTACATACCAGTATAGTAGGGTTTTGGGTGCTCTTCCATTGAGATGTTTGATAATAGTTCAAGAATGTAGCCATATTTAAAGGCTTATGAAGGATGGAATATTTTAAGCCTTGGTTCCATAGTAAGGAATAAATGTTAAACTTCCATAGTAAGGAATAAATGTTAAAGTGTGATTGGGGGTGCTTCAAAAGGAAATAAAGACATACTTCCTCCGTTCCAATTTATGTGAACCTGTTTGACTAGGCACGGAGTTTAAGAAAACATGAAGACTTTTGGAATTTGTGGTCCTAAACAAGCCAAAAAGGGGCCCAAAGTATTTGTGTGGTTATAAAAGCTTCTCATTAAGGGTAGAATTGTAAGTTTATCTAAATTATTACTAAATTTAGAAAGGGTTTATTCTTTTCGGAACGGACCAAAAAGGAAATAGATTCACATAAACTGGAACAGAGGGAGTACTACTTTAATTTAGAATCCGAATTTTCTTTTATAATTTGTATCCAATTGTAATTAGTAAAAGAAACCTAGATATTTCTTTTTCTTTTTTCTATTCTTTATTAATCTTTTTTCTTTTCATTTTTTCTTTTCTGTTATCGTTTTGGTTTTTGTGTTTTTCCTTTTTAATGCTTTGCGTATGATATGATGAGAGTCTAATCACAACTTCCAACTTTAAGATTCTTACAAAAAATCATAAACCAATAGATAAGACTATTCTAACTAGCTACTCACATTCGTATGGATATTATCACCTAGTTCACTTAAAATAGAGGAGTTGGAAAAGAAAGTTGCTGCTGATAGCTTACAGGAAGATTTAATGTTTATCCTGTTTGCTCGAACTAGCACTATTACTTAACCATGGTTAAATGATAAATGAACTAGCACTTTATTTAACCGTGGTTAAACAATAAATATATGTGTGAAAAACATACTCATATCTTGTATTTATTGTTTTAGTGTAAACGAGTGCAGGTAAATTCTTCGGGAGAAAATGTCTCATTTCTTTTCAAACAGGAGAAACATTAAATCTTCCTGTAAGTTTATTGTAAAATAAAATAGGTCAATTGAACTTCATCGTCATAATTTCCGACTTCTTTTTTTTTCATTAATTTAATATTTGACTAACAATCTGCAGCTGACAGATGGCCAATTTTGTACACTCAATGAAAACAGTCACTTAGACCTAAAATTTGGACTGCAAGTTCTTTCCTAACACTTTGGACTAGTGAGAAAGCAAAAAGAAGAAATGTAGTTGAACATTGTTTTTCTGCCAATTCTGATCTCACACATTAAAATCAAATCACATGCATTCCTCTTTTCTTATTGAGTAAAAGATTCTTCCCAGCTCTATGAATCGCGTGGGAATATGAAGCAATTCTTTATTTTAACGTTTACCTGAAGCTGGCATTCCTTTACCCCACAAATAGGATAAAGTTAATTCCAGCTGTAAGTTTATCTAATCATTTTTAAACGTAATAAAGACAAAAGAATCATAATAGGTTCTGACTTTTCTTTTGCGAAACATGCAACATGTTTCTTTAAGTACGTACATACAAAAATTGAGGTACTAAAATAACCTATACGTTAACTTTCAAATTCATCTCATTGAAAGCACGTTGTTGACCACCGTAGAATTTGGTTGAATGTTTGAGATGTATTCACCCTTAACTAGAGCTTTCAGGTTTGAGCCTCATAATTGTATGTGGTAAATTATTTATTGACGATTGGATGAATGAGGATGTGACAAGTGGAGCTGAAGATAGGTAAGATGTGAGTCAGCAAGTAGTTGATACTGGTTGTAAGCATGTAATCAGTGCTGGGTTAATTCCGAAGGCAGGATAATCCATAACAAAAATTTGAAGATTGATATCGAATAACATTCAATGAACAACCATTACATAGAATATCTGCATTTATACCCAACTGTTACGTAGCCATCAATGATGATTTTATTGTCATGCAAGAGGAGCTTGATTTGGGGATCTTGTCTCTCTAAATAAAGCTATAAATAGGAGAATTAGTATCCATTGTAACACACGAATCATTCTGGACACAAAAGCTTGAATCAGCTCTAACTCTATAACATTATTCTTTTACCTTGTTCTTAATATTGTTCTTACTTTTGCTACCGAGGAAGCTAAAATTCGTAGGCAGACCTGTATTCCCTTTAAGTTTATTTATTATCCTATTTCTGTCCTTATTTATTTTATATTTCTGGGTCAAATTAATTGACGTGTCTACAAACCACATTATAAATTCAACTGTACTGTTTATGGGTAAGCAGTTTGGCGCCCACCGTGGGGCATAAACAATTTGTAATTGCCTTGATCCATTCATCTGTTACTAATGAATTTCGATTCCTTTCTCAACAAAAAAAAAATCAAATATGACAGCTAACGTTGTCAACAATTCCAATAATGTCGGAGCACACAATGAACGTGAAGATGTGTTCCAACGCGATGATTCAACCAGCGAAACCCGCAATGAAGGAGATGAAACAACTCCAGTTCATGAAGGTCAAAATCCTCGGCATGTGAGCAGTCCAACTCCTGATGATGTGGATGATGATCACGTTTTTGAAACGATCTAAAACCTGAGATACCAACAAAGGACAATTAGGCCTCATTTGTTTTTTTTAAGATTAAGACGTGTGAATCTGAATGCACATCTGAATATCAAGATGTGTATTAAGATTAAGACATCTGAATCAAAATACACATCTGAATATGTTAAGATGTGCATTAAGATCTGAACAGAAATAATTAAGACAGTTTGATTTTTAACATCTTAATGTATAAAATTTATCTTTATTTGAAAACTAATAAACATAAAATTCAAATGAATACTAACTAATCCAATATTCTATCAATAAAATATATAGTTTTTTTAAAATATGATAGTTGTTGGTGGTGATGGCTAACGGGTGAATGCCGACTAGAGGCGGTTGTTGACACCCAATTTTTTCCTATATATTTTTTAATATGCAAAATAACTTCAAAATGGCATATATATGCATATGTAAGCATATTCAAGTGTTTTATTATTTTCCATAATTTCTAATGGTTTTTAAATCAATTTATTTCCCTTTTTTATCCATAAAAAACCCCAATAATCATTTCCAGAATTATTATTTTTGGCAAATAATCTATTGGATTTTCATCTTTATGCTAAAATATAGCTAAGGCAATTTTGGCATATTTTTACAAATTTATTAGTATTTTTTCAAAGCTAAAGTGCATAATTGCAATACTAGCCTCTTTTAAGATTTAATGGCGTTTATATTCATAAAATCAAGTCCTATATTTTTAATGTGTTAGTTATATATTATAAATCGTTTTAGTGCTTTCAATTTGTTTTCAAGAATTAACTTACTATTTTTTATAAATTAAAAGGAAAAAGTGGCTATTTAAACTGTAGCCCAAATTGGGTTTCAATTATTACCCAAATCAGGCCCCCAATTTCCCCAGCGCAATTCCAATATTAACCCTACCCAATTTAATCGACCCAACTCGGATCCCTACCTACCCTGTTCAATCCAGGCTGTTGATCAAAATGATCAACGGCCACCAGCTCCCCTTACCATTTTTAACCCAAACCAACCCCTTACCCTAAATCATTTTCCACCACCCGCCGCCATTGAATTTCCCTTTTTCTCAATTCTCTCTGAAACCTCACCTGAACCCTAGCCGTCGCCCTTTAATCCTACCCTAATCCACCCTAATACCTACCTAATCCATGGCCCCTCGTGCTCATTTAGGACGTGTATCAGCCTCCTATGGCTCCTGGATGTTTGGTTTTGTGGTTTCATGATCAGACCTCGAAGGAGTCTGGTCTAGTTCTGCTCGACTGTTGTTCATGGCCTTTCTCCGGCTATCCACGACCTTTCTCCGGCCATTCATGGCCTTTCAAGGCGGATCCTTGACTTTTCTGGTTAGATCGTTAACTTTCGAGATCTTTCTCATTTCTTTTGGGTTTTCTGAAACCCTAAAAGATCTTTCGATTTCTTTCAGATCTATCTTAGATCTGTGCTTACTATGAACTTTTTAAGTGTTTCTCGAAGGTTCTTTGACTTTTCTTTCAAAATGACTCTTCACTTTTCAACGATTAGGGTTTTCCTTTAAGTCTTTCAAAAGATCTCTTCTCCGATCTTAATGTTGTTATGATTTTGCTATGTTTAAAACGATTTGCTCATGTTGTTCTTCTATCTATTTCAACATGTTTAAAAACCCTAGTTCCTTTTAGTCTTATCCGAGTTCTGAGACTGTTTGTTTAAATGTGCACTTGTTCTTTGTTTCAGACTCTATTTTCCTCGTTTGTACCAGTTTGTATTTTGAGTTCTTACCATCTCTTAAACTCGACTACTGTTGAAGCCCTAAATTTCTTAGAAGTTTTCTCACTTGTTACTACTGTGAGACATTTACCCGTTTCTGACTTCTCTTATCTGGTACTATGTTCTTCTTCACTGTTGATTATATGTGACTTGACCTACTTGACTACTGTGCCTCGAATATTTTTCTTACTACTGAATCCTAGCTTATTTCTGCCACTACAGTATGTTTGTGATATCTCTTTTGCCAATGTGTTCGGCCTCGCATGGCTGATGCTTCTGTTCACTCTATTTATATACTGAAGTGCAGAATCATATTTATTCCTTGATTGATCTTATGACTGATTGCAAAAGCTTTTCTTTTACTAACCCTAATTTCACTCGCTTGTTTAAATTAATTGATTCCTTTCCCTTTACTGCTATATTTTACCTTGCTGAATCCTTTTCAAAATAAGCCTATTTTGTACTTGGACTTGATTATTTACTGCATGCTTTTACTGCCCCTTATATGGAAATAATCAATCTGTCTGAACTTGATTTTTCTTTCCTTAAATGAAACCTGTTAGTACCCGTTAAACAGTGATTCCTTAATTAAAGGGAATCACTTGTGTTAATTGATTCTGACTTGTGATTGTTTCCATGTTTGTGTTAAGACTTTACTATTACCTTACTTATCACTTGTTTTCAAAACTATAAATACCCACCCCCTCTTTTCTTTAAGACAT